GGTTGGAAATGGTAAGCTGTTCCAGCCTCCTTTTGGAATAAAGTGCAATAACATGGGTGCAAGTTGAATATCAGGACCCCAGTGAAATTATTTCAGAACTCCCTTTCCATCTCCTCTGGCTCCTTTTGTCCGACTCAGTCAACAAGCATTTATTGAACATCTACTCTCTGCCGGTCACTGTTAAGAATAGGAGACATGGCAGCCAGCAAAACAGGCATGCGTCCTACTCTCGTGCAGCTTAAGATCTAGTGGGAGAATCAGACGATCAAATAATTTTACGGATTTAGAGCTCCCTAAGGTAATGAGTGTTTTGAAGGAAATATTTGGCAGTTATGAGAACTTATATAACAGGAGGTGCCAGCTTGGCCTAGGGGGTCAAGGAGACTTCTGGAGGAAATAAAGTTTGATTTGAGATCTGCGGATGAGGGAAGTGATTAAGTCCACCCCCGTGTCCCTCCCTCTGACGCCTGGAGGTCTTCACATCTCAGCTCCCCTATACTCTGGGAGTCTCACCCACCAGCTGTAAGGCACAGACTGTTACAGTCACCTCCCTCCCTGTTTTCTCCTCGAGAGGTCAAGCAGACTGGAGATCAGAGGTGCAAACGTGCTCTGCAGAAAGGGGAAGTTGTATGAAGCCCGCGAAAGCAGAGACCCAGCTAGAGACCCAGCCTGAACGGAAGACAGCTGGAAACCAGAATCCAAGCCCTTCCCAGCTACCTCTGTGGACTCGGCAGACGGGGACTTGGATCTTTCCTGCCTAACGGATACTTCCTGGGCTGCTGAGGGGTGCTGGCTGCGGGCCGATGGCTTGTGGTTTCTCCTTGAGGTTTCCGTGGAGTCAAAACAACACATGGACTTTGATCTCTCTTCAGCAGTTGGCAGAAAGCTCAATTCCAAGCAGAGGCCAAATCAACTTTTGAGGACTAATCCCTCAGCCTCCCCACTGTCAGGGACAGCCACTTCTGGAAGCTTCACATCTAATTCAGGCTGCAAAAAGCAGCCTTGAATTCTTATTTCTATCACCCACTAAATCCATTCAATTGCCTTCCCTTTTCTTAACTTTGAAATAGCTTCAATTACCCGGCATACAATAGTCACCTGGGTTTAATTTTTTTTTTTCTTTTTTGAGGGGAACTCATTTTAGCTAAGCAATTACAAACAATAGCTTGATTATATTTCTAAATGCTTTTGACACAAGCAACTGCTTCTTTTCCAAAGCATGCACTGAGCTATCGGGACATTGTAATATTTCCCTCCCCCAGCAGTTTTGCCTGGATCTCACCCACTGAAGAAACCAACTGTAAATATTTGACATTCCTTGTACTTCTGGTAGTCCGCACTGTTTAGCCTTCTGGGGCTCTCCATTTCAGTTTTAAGCCTCCAGGGAAAATGGAAAGAAAAGGCTGGGGTATGTTTTAGACCCTGAAACTTTGCTTCTTTATAAATAGTCACCCCTTGGGGCACCTGGGTGGCTCAGTCGGTTAAGCATCAGGTCATGATCTCATGGTTCGTGAGTTCGAGCCCTGCGTTGGGCTCTCCGTTGATAGCACAAAGCCTGCTTCAGATTTCCTCTCTCCCTGCTCCTCCCCTGTTTGCACTCTCTCTCCTTCTCTCAAAAATAAATAAACATTTAAAACATAATAAAAAATTGGGGCACCTGGGTCGCTCAGTCAGTTAAGCGACAGACTTCGGCTCAGGTCATGATCTCATGGTTTGTGGGTTCGAGCCCCATGTCAGGCTCTGTGCTGACGACTCAGAGCCTGGAGCCTGCTTCAGATACTGTGTCTCCCTCTCTCTCTGCCCCTCCCCTGCTTGCACTCTGTCTCTCTCAAAAATAAATAAACATTAAAAGAAATTTTTTAATAAAAAATTTCATAAAAAATAAAATAACAGTCATCCCTTGAGGGATGCATGTTAGGATGTTGCCATAGTTTAGGTTTCTAATAAAGCTTTTTGTGTGTGTTTGGTAAAATAGATATACGTAAATTTTACCCTTTTAACCATTTTTAAAAAAATTTTTTTTTCAACGTTTTTATTTATTTTTGGGACAGAGAGAGACAGAGCATGAACGGGGGAGGGGCAGAGAGAGAGGGAGACACAGAATCGGAAACAGGCTCCAGGCTCTGAGCCATCAGCCCAGAGCCTGACGCGGGGCTCGAACTCACAGACCGCGAGATCGTGACCTGGCTGAAGTCGGACGCTTAACCGACTGCGCCACCCAGGCGCCCCAACCATTTTTAAACATACAATTCTGTGGCATCACATACATTCACAATGCAGTGCAATCTTTGGCACTATCCATTTTCAGATCTTTTTCATCATCTGAAACAGAAGCTCTGTACCCATTAAATAGTAGTAACTCCCCATTATCCTCTCCTCCAGTCTCTGGTAACCACTAGTCTATTTTCTAACTCTGTGAATTTGACTATTCTAAGTACCTCATATAAGTAGAATCAGATAATATTTGTCCTTTGATGTCTGACTTAATTTCACTTAGCGTAACGTCTTGAAGGTTGATCCATATGGTAGCATATATTAGACTTTCATCCCTTTTTGTAGATCCCATTGCGTGTATATATGCCCCATGTTGTTTATCCACTCATCTGTTGGTGGACACTTGGGTTATTTCCATTTTTTGCCTAGTGTCTAATAAAGTTTAGCATAATAAATACATGGGATCTGGCTCCTCTGTGACCTATGACCAGCGTAACAACTACCTTTTACTTCATTTCATTCTCTAGAAATAGGACATCGGGGCACCTGGGTGGCTCAGTCCATTAATTGTCCAACTTGGGCTCAGGTCACGATCTTATGGTTCATGAGTTTGAGCCCCGCATCGGCTCTCTGGGGTCAGCATGGAGCCCACTTCCGATCCTCTGTCCCCCAACCTCTCTCTGCCCCTTCCCTGCTCAGGCCCACTCTCTCTCTCTCTCTCTCTCAAAAATAAATAAACATTAAAAAAAATAGAAATAGGACATCGATTAGAGCACCACCAGGGCTCTGCAGGCAAAACTGGTGCTGGAGATAGTCAGTGAAAGATGAGGATCCGTGGTCACTATGGACTTTTGCAGAGCTACACCTGAGGGTCTAGCTGGTCGGAGATAGCTCCCTGGGGGAGTGGGATTGCACAACACAGGGGTTCTGACTCTGTAATAAAAGAGAACTTGCATTCATTCGTTCATTCATTCAATTCATTAAACTCATTCATTCTATCTTTCTCCCACTCGTTCATTCCAATATTATTTAACACAGTGATGAGCTCAGACTGCCCTGAGCTTCTAACCGTTAGAGGCAGAGAGGCCCGTAAATTGACACTGACAAAACCCAACATTCAGGGCTTTGGGAGAAGCAGGATGGCATGCCATGGGAACCCATAGAGGTGCCCCTCCTGTCCTTGGGAGCCAGGAAAGGCTATCTGAAGGAAGTCACACCTGTGCCAAGTCATTAGGGAAGGGAAGAAATTAGCCAGAGGGACCAGAGGATGGAAAGGGTGAACCAGGCCTAGGGAGGGTCACCCAAGGGCCCAGAGATGAAAGGAAGGACCTGTAGTTGGCTTACGTGTGTGACTTGGGATTTGAGGTGGGGATGTAGAGACCTGTGAGAGGCAGAGGCAGTGAAGCCACAGATGTGGGCAGGGATCATTTGGAGAGGGGAACTCGTGTGGTGTTTGGGCTCAACCCTGGGGCAAAAGAGAAGCTCTGAGGGCTTTGAAGCCAGGGAAGAAAGCAGATCCTGTTCTACCCTTGAAGGAGGCATCCAGCTGAAAATCCTAAGAACCAACATCTACTGAGCATTTCTGAGGCCTGAGTGCTGCTCTGGGGCCTCATGCTTATCTCAGTTAACCCTCACAACAGCTGATCAGGATGAGTGATGAGACCTAGAGAGACTCTTACCAAGGCCTCTAGGCGTGGGTGGCAGGATGCAGATCCCATTGATGAGGGACCATAAGGCAGGCTGAGGGCAAAGTACAAATATAGGTGGGATGTGTGTGACATCTCTCAGGCACTCCCGGCTGCCCAAGACCAAAGGAAAGGAAAGAAAACAAATGGTTAACCGATAGAGATCACAGTCATGCAGGACACGAGTCTCCATCAGTTCACAAATATCTTAGTAAATTACAAGAAAAAGGCGACCTTATCAATTGCTTAATCTCTAGAAACTGGTAGGCTCAGTTTCCTGAGCCCCAACATCTCCTCCTCAGTGATATGGGGAACAAAGGCAAGAAAGAAATGGCAGGTAAAATTAAATTTCCTTATAACCTGCAGCCCATTAACAAATACTAGAGGCAAATACAGAGAAAACATTTCCCCAGGAACCCCCCACCGTCTTAATATTAATGCTTTGCTAGAGGGAAAACAACTTTAGCTTGACAATAGCGAGGCCTCCAGTATCCTGTGAATCTTTTTCAGCACAGGAAAATCTCTTTGGAAACTTCCCTTTTGACCTTACCTCCCCAACTCTATAGTACATAGCCAGTCATTCCTCACAACCCCAGTGCAGCTCTTTCTGCCCAAGGGTCCTCCTGCCGGTGCGCTTTAACAAAATCACCTTTTTTTTGCACCAAAGACATCTTCAAGAATTCTTTCTTGGCCGTCAGCTCCGAACCCATCATCACCCCCAAAACGTCATCATAACCATCACCGCTGCTATTCCGTGTGGTCTGGGGAGCAGAATCAACCATATCTCCCGGGAACTTGCTGGAAATGCAGAACCTTGGTCCTACATCTTCCAGAACGGAATCTGCATTTCAACAGGATCCTCCAGGCTGATTCCTGGCACACTGAAGTTAGAGAAGCTCTAAGGTGACTCCTGGGACCAGCTGCATATGAGACTCTCCTGGGTGGACTGAACCCCTGGATGAAGGACTGCAGAGTTTCTGGGGCTGCCGCTCAGGCATCAGGATTTTTTCAAAGTTCCCCCAAGCCCTTGCGTGACGCGTCCCCCTTTCCAGGGAGGTCAGGCTGACTCCTGCAGGAAGGAGGGAAGAGGAGAGGGGGAGGGGGAGGGGGAACTGGGCTCCCGGCCCCCGGAGGCTCTGCAGCTTTAAGAAGGGGAGCTGGCTGCCAGCCACGGAGGCCCCGGAAGGCCGCCTGCCATCTTGCACGGGCCACGTGAGCACAGGCTGCAGGCAGCGACAGTCAGCGCTGGGCCCGGCCTGGGCTTGCAGACCCGAGCCCCGCAGGCCAGCCCCAGCGGCAGTGGCGCCGTCAAGCCGAAGAAAGGGGACCTTTATGCCTTTTGGGGGAAGCACACATTCTGCGAGGCCAAGGAAACAAAGAGAGGAACTGTTTGTAGCCCTAGTCCAGACGTCCCAAACAAACAGTAAGTCAGGAGGGCACGAACACCGCATGGCCCCTCCCCCAGGACACCACACACACGCACACATACACACACACACACCCCTGCAGCTAAGGGGCAGGCTCTGCCCACAGCCCACCCAGGGACAGCCTGGCCAAGCCAGTGAACAGGACAGAAAATTCCCTGAAATTCTTTCTCCAGGGTTGGGGGTTGGGGGGGTCTCTGAACTTCAGGGCTCAGTACAGGTCAGGTAACACCTGATGACTGCCCACACCTCAGGTGTGAGTGGTGTTTCTGCACTCTGTCCCTCCGCCTGCAGGGGCCTTGAGGTCCGTGTCCTTGTCCTGAGAACGCCTTGGTCCCATCGTGGATGCAGAGAAAGTGAAATTGAAACCTGTCAGTTTAACTGTCGGTCTTTGGGCCACCAGCTTGCCTGGAACAAGGCAATGAAGCTAATGGCCAAAATGGGGGTGGCTGTGGGGGCTGTGACAGATGCGGGGCAGTCAGCGTCCCAAGTTTCCCCGGGCACCTGCAGGGCATAGGCAGGGACTTCGAGGAGGGAAAGGTGGAGGGGAGACAGCAGCCAGGACATCACCTCCACCTTGGCTGGAGGCAGAGCTCTGTTAATCCTATTCAAGACTTTCTCCAGGCCTTGAGTCCACTTGACTCAGTCTCCACTGGGAGGGGGCAGGACCAATGGGCACAGGTGGCTACGGTGGCATGCCCCTGACCCGTGTGTGCCACCAAATGCTAAAGGCAAAGCCTTGTGACTTCTGGGTGTCTCTTCTCTCGTGTCATCTGTGCTGCCCTGCCCCCTCCTCCATTACAGACAATTGAGAGCTAACTATAATCCACCTTACTGCCTGAGAATGTATGCGAAAATTATCATGCGTTGGGAGCAGGTAGCAGGTTGAGATTATGTTGGCAGAGAGAAGGTTGGCATTGATTGGCACGCAGAGGAGGGAAGCTACTTTGTGTCTTCAAGATAACTGGGTACAAGCTAAAAGGAAGGGAAGGGGAGGTCCAAGAGTAGGGAGCAAAGAGAAAGTTGGCTTTACCGGTGGGTGGAGTGAAGATGAGGAAGAAGGAAGAGGAAGGTGGCATGGGGTGAGCAGGGCAGGGCAGGACGGGGTTCACGGAGAGGAAGCCAAATGGTAGCTTGTCCATAATAACGATGAAGCATCTTCAAGAGCCAGATGTGACTTCTGGCTGTGGGGGCTAGATCCCAGAGGTCAATTGCTGGCCCCTGACATGTTTTATTTATTAATCTGAGCACCCTTGGAAAGTGGGGAGGTTTCACGCGTGACTCTGAAAGGTCTGCACACCAGGCTTAAACTGCAGAAGGGCAGCTGAAGCTGGAGCTGCACCTGTTCGCCGAGGTCCCCACTCACATCGCAAGCATTTTGTCTTCTCCCCACCCCCACTCCCCAACTTCTGTTACCTGCCGGGTTCCCACAGGCATTGATTGCAAACTGCTGCTACTCCTGGTCTCGATCATAAGGATTCTCTTCTGTTGAGCCTGTGTGTGTGTGTGCACGTGCGTGCACGCGTGAGGCTGTGTGTGTGCACATGCCAAGCACACAGGTATGCTGTCTTTCAATTAATTTCAATTAATCTCTCCCCTTTTCAGCTGAGGATGGCAGATGCAGAAAACCAAGTGTACCCCTCTCCTTACAGACTCCGCAGCCTTTCCAGGCTATCTGCCAAATTGCGAGATGGTATTTGCATTTAAAAAAATTTTTTTGAGTGCATTTTCTTATTTTGGTTTAAGTATTTCCCAGCCTGCCTGAAGGCAATATTTCATGTATGCCACACTTTCTAGCTTTTAAAGCATTTCTGCAACATGCACGAATTCATTTTCTCCTTCCGGCAGTTCCGTGAGGCGGATAGTTTGGGCCCCCTTCCTGTGCTCTCTTGGAGAAAACCGACAGTAGAGAAACTAAATGCCTTGGTCCTGCAGCAGTTGTGAAGAAAAGTTAATAAAAGTAAGCTGTGTCCCTTAGACTGCGTGGAATTATAAAAAGCTAGGCTTGGAAAAGCATAGTGACCATGGGTAGGATGTCCATCCAGAGTACTAGCTTGACTCCTGGTTAGGCGACTCGGTAGCTGTGAGTCTTTAGACAAAGTACTGAATCTCCCTGTGCCTCCTTTTCTGTAAAATAGGTATGACAGCCCTTATCTAGGGAGTGTTGTGTGGGTTAAATGAGATAACACATGCAAAATGTTCAGAGCAACGCCTGGCACGCTGTAAGTTTTCAGTAAATATTACTATCAGTACTAAAATTATTATTATCGGTACCTTTGCGACAGGCTAAGTTGTAACAAAAGGACCCCAAAATACATTTGCTCAAAAAGGATAGAAGTGTATTATTTCTCTTTCACCTGCTAGCTTGGAGGTAGATGGTCGGTCCAGGACAGGTAAACAATTCTGCTCCACAGGGTCATTCAGGAACCCAGGTTCCTTGTGTTGTGTTTCTTCCCATCCCCTAGGGTGTCCCCCTCTTCTGCCTAGTTACAGCTCCCCAACATTATATCTCCTTTCTGCTCCTGCCTGCAGGCAAACGGCCCCCTTCCAAATGTTGTAACTCTGAAGCTGTTCATGCCCTTTCACTCATATCCCTCATTGACCAGAACTTGGGCACACTTAGCTGCAGGTGGGTCTGGCAAATGTAGCCTCCAGCTAGGCCAACTAAATATGCCCAACTAAAACTTAGGAATTCTCTTACTAAAAGGAAGAAAGGGAGAGTGGAAATTGGGAAGAGTTCATGGTCACTGGGTTCTTAGCCCACCTGAGCTCTACTTCCGACTGGATGCCTGATTTGCTCGTGGATTTCTTCTTTAGAAAAATCCAGGGACAGCTCTTGACTCATGTTTCAGATAAATACCCCTGGTGGCAGCATGGGTATCTCCTGCTGGCTGGTCAGACTGCCTGTCCACAGGGTTGGGCAGCCTGTCCCCTTACTGTCCAAACCTCCTAGCGAGAGTGGCATTGGCTCTCTTTGTTTGTTTATTTTCTTCTGGCTCTTTTGACAACTTCCCCAACAGGCAATGTAAATTCCACACTCTGTTGTCTCCAGAGAGTCACTCTTCCTTGTGATCTTGAGTCTGGGGTGGCTGATTAAGGAAGGGTCCCTGTGTCCTTCCATTCTCCTAGAGCTCATCCTTGCATGCGTTGAAGAGGGAACCTTCTCCCCACCTCATCAAGGATTATCTATGAGCCCACAGGACTGTAAGAAAGAAATCAAGCTACATGTTTGTTGAATGGATGGGCAGCCACATGGTCCCAGAGCTCTGTAGTCTTTTAGTTCAACTTCGGTGATACATACTTTCCTGAAAGCACTAGTTTAAGTAGCAGCCTGGCTCAATGAAAGGAAGTGTGGATCAGTATTCCATTCTCATTATTGCAAGTAACTTATTGGTTGGGTCAAAGAAAGGCATATCAATGGTCTAGCGGGAGCTTACTCCAGGGACAGAGAAGGTACTTTGAGGTATATTGCCTAACAGATGAAGGAGGACATTTGTATTTGTTGAGGGCCTGCTATGTGCCAAGCACCTGCTCAAGGCAGCAGTCCAGGCATTAAGTAACAAAACATGCACCTGATGGAGTTTACAACCTAGCAGGAGTACCATGCATTAACCATCTCATTTAATCCTTGTGAATTCTGCAAAGCGTGTATTTTTCATATTTTGTAGGCCAAAAATTCAAGCTCAGAGAGGGAAATGGTAAGGATGCTTTTAAACCTACATCTACCTGATTCTAAAACTCTTGCTCTTTCCATTATTATTTCATCGGCCTCCAGACACTTTTTGTGTTGAAGAGGGAATCTAGCCTATGTGTAGGAGAGACGTGGTCCCCTGTGCTAAAAACCTGAAACGGTGATTATTATAAACTCAGGGGTTGGCTTCACTTGACTGTGGTGGTTGGATTTTTTGCACTAACCTGCATCTCTCTCTAATCACCCTTGCCCACTGATCCTTCTCTGTGTACCCACCCAGTGGAACCCCACTTCTGGAACCGTTCTGCCCTGCTCCTTTGTTGGGCTCTGACTATAGCTGGAGGAATTGTCTGCCAAGTCTGTCTGGACCATTAGAGTACTAGGTTCCCAAGGCTGCCTGGAAACCCTCCCAGATGTCCCTAGGCCTCCCCTGTCCCATTATTATTGGTGTCTCCTCCTGGCTGTTCCTCTTTCATCCACCCTGTTTAAACCTCCATTTCATTGCTTGTCACTGTCATTGACAGGGAATCCATCCTGTCCATTGATAAAACTGAACACAATTTAAGGCCCCAAGAAATTCTCAAGGTCATCTCTGGCAATCCCCCCAGCATATCTCCTACTCTGCTTCTCCACTCCTCCCGTGCTAGGGAAGGGGTGTGCTCCTGCCCACGGCCGACACTCCTTGTGCTCCAGACACTCTCCCATCTCCCCTAGAGACACCCTCCAATCATTCTGTTCTCTTGTTCACATCTTCAGCTTCTTGCCTACCAGTATTTCTCATCACTACCTGAACTTGTTCAATCTCTCCAATCTGAATAGTACCCTGTTCTCGAACCCATATTTCTGTCTACTTCTGCCTTCAGTTTCCCTTTCTCTCTCCTTTCGCAGCCCAGGCTTCTTGAAAGAATCATCTACACTGGCTGCTGACACTGCCCCCCTGCCCACTCAGTCCGCCATCACCCGTCTGGCGTATGTTCCCATGATCAAATGCCCAGACTAATGTCATGAAAGACAGCCATTCCCGAGATCTAGTTGTTGTTTTTCTTCCCTAGTATGACTCCATCTTTCGGGGGCATTGGTACCATTACACACCCACACATTTTGAGCCTCTCTTCCCAGATGACTTTGCTCTCTAGGTTTCCACCCTACTTTGCTGGATATTTTTTTCCTATCTCCTTATGGAGACCTCCTGTTCTACTTACTCCCTGAATGTCTCCAGGGTCTCTCTGTCCCACCCACTGTTCTTCTCACCCTCTCCCTTGGTGTCCTCAACCATATATGAGCCGACGCTCTCCTGCTCTCCCTCCT